TAAGACTTGCAAACATATAAACATAATATACTTACAAGATCTCTATGAATTATATTATTTTCATGCAAGAATAAAAGTCCAAGTGCAATTTCCTTAGCGATACGTAGCTTGTCTATCTACTGCAATTTTGTAAAATTTGCTTTCAGGTATTCTCGTAAATTTCCGTCGTTGGCATATTGTAAAACTATATAATATCCATTATTGTCTAATTAAATGTAATAAATATTTTTAATAGTTATTTTACACAAAATTTAAACCTTTTAAATTTCATATATATCCTTTGTAACTCCATAGAATTTAATAATATTTGGATGGAGGGTGTGGCGACTTAGTGAATTGGTAAGTTGTCGCACCCCCAAGCAGCAGGACCAGAGTTCTAATCCCACTGGCAACGAAATTCGAATTTACGGAAAATGTATTTGGAAGACTGTATCCTATTAGGTCAGTACCTGTAATGGGGTCATACCAGTACCGTTGTACTGGGAGGTAGTGGAAATACTGTATAATATATAAGTTGCATGACAGTGAAGCTATTGGGTAAATCCAGCAGATTGGGATACGGAAGCCTGCTTGGCAAGACCCAAATAGAGAGGTAGCACAGATCTTTGACAGTACTACTTGATAATCCAAAAAGGGAGAACTGAACAGCAGGAAAAGAAGGAACCGAATGGTAGGAAAAGGGGAAACCGAATGGCAAGAAAGGGGGAAACCGGACGAGACTGAAGTGTTCAGCAAGGCACTCCACCAACCAGGCTACCGGCTGAGTAACCAGAGGAAAAGGACCCAATTGTGGGTACCAGGAGCAGGTCACAGCCCTTCTGGACTATCTGAATTGGAAGTTTGGTGAACCAGAAGTAGGGCTTAGTTTGGAAAACTGGAAGTAGAGCTTAGTTTGGGAAACTGGAAGTATAGGTTGTTAAAGTGTGTACTGGGGTTTGGGTGAACTCTATAAAGGCACAAAGTAGGTAACGGTAATGGCTTCAGCTTGCAAGTACTTGTCCTCAGACTTGGCACAAGTTACTGAAAAATCTAGCTAGCCAGATTGTGGGTATGGAAAGTTCTAGTAAGTTTACTTCAAAGGTAACCAGCTGGTTGGTGCCCTAGGTGGGTCGCTACTCTGTATGGGATTGGGGCCTTACAAGGACATGGCGGCACAGAGGGTTTAAATAGGTAATCTCATAGTTAGGTTGCAGGTATGGCATCTAGTGTAGGAACCTTTGGGTGGACTACTTAAATAGGCAACCAAAAGTTGCACATGTGGCTAGTTGTATCCTACAAAACCATGTACCAAATGAGTAGCAGCTGACTTAGTTCAGCTTAGCACATAAACCAATAAAAGCTTCTGACCAAGAGGTTACTTTGAAATTAAAAAAAAAATAATAATAATATTTGGATGGTAATCAACTTTTCGTAATAGCTTAAGCTTTTATGTCATAATTGTAGAAATGTAGAAATTTAGAATTACCCAAGGAAATAATGTAAATAGTAATGTAATAAATACCTCATTGACAAAGTCTTTAATGATTTTTTCGTCTAAATCTACATTGGCTTCGAGTTTAAGGCATTTAAGAGCAACCGTTAAATCACAATTTTTCCATTCATATTTAAAAACTTTCCCAAAGCCTCCAATACCAATCGTTGTGGACTCTGTAAATTTATTATATTCTAGATAATTAATATGTCCCTTGGAAATAGCTTCTTCAAGCCATTCTTTTGGTGTTTTTTTCTCCATGATACCGATAAAAACTCACTAATGTACGGCGTAGATCTTATTTATACTTACTAACTACGTGTACTGCTATGTGACACGGCATTTAGTTAGCGCTTTGTTACGTTTTGCATGGCTATCTTTATTATATTTGATTTACTACGTAATTGTCTTTTATGCAGTATGATTATTTTTACCGTATATGAAAATAGCATAACAAAAATAATAATAAATCTAAATAAATTGCTTTCTTTAAAATACATAATTTATTATAGATCGGTAAAACTATACCGATTAAAATATGACGCAAGTTATTTTTAATGTCGAAGCTACTTTTATTGATGGAATTATTAGTTAGTCATTAATATAATTCTATGAAATAAAAGCTTTCTTATTTTTCTTCAAATATGTATATGTTTAGTACAATTCCATTTTGATAACAGTACAGTAACCGACTTTTTCTATTTCTTTGTAAATATTTAATTGGTAGTGCGCTGGCATTTACTAGTTACCTTATATAGTAAGTGGAATGCCGTGCTCCGTTTCTTAAGAAAAAACCCTATAGTAAACAATTGAAAAATACACATATCTCATGATCTTTCTACCATTAGTATCAGAAAAATTAGCTCTACAACTTTTATTATAAGCTAAAAGAAGGTTTACATAATAAACTTTTATTCTGTAAGCAAACCCCGTTCCTATATTATAAAAAAAACATATGAATTTCGACTTTGTTTATTATAAGATTTATTATTCTATTATGGAAATTGAAGGTGGTTTAGTGGTTTAGTGCATGAAAATCTAATGAATCATGTAAACACCGAAAAATTCGCGTATACGTGATTACACAAAGACTGGCCTTAATTTTATGGTATACAGTATATATTGTAACTCAGCTTTTCGATGAAATGAGTCGGAATGTAAATTTCTTATGGCTCTTCTTAATAAATAATGTTAATGAATACAGTTTTCTTGAAGATTTTAAATATAATTCAAAGTTAAATTACGCGATGGTCATCATATCAACTTCTTAATATAGTTTGATCCCAATCAGTGGTCACGTGCCAGTTTTCTGAATTATACTTTAAGAGCATCACGAAGAGATTAAAAATTAAAATTTCACAATTCGCATACATGTTTTAAAAGCTGTATTTGCAGCAAAATTACATTGAAATCAGGACGTACAATAATTAACATCTAATAATAAATACAAGAAATTTTAAATTCAATAGCATTACTAAAAATTTAACAGGTTTAAGTTAACATCTATTAACATTGATTACAGTAATATTGTTCCTTTAATTGTAATATTATTTTTTCAACAATTATAAAACTCTTTAATCTAAATTAATTATTCTTACCGTATTGTCGCGAAATAACTGACATGCGCGTTATTTAGAATAATGGCCCGAATTAAGCTTAATTTAGGCCGAAATTCGTATTTGCATCCAGTGTTAAATATCTGAAATTTTTTTTTTGTTCTTTGAGAACATAAATCGATAATTTTATGTCCTTATAAACATTTTAATGCTCTTAATGATAAAAAAAAAAAAAAAGTAAAATTATAATTTTTATAAAACATAATTATATATTTTCTCTATATTATATGAGAACATAAATTATAAATTTTATGTTCTTAGTTGGTTCTCAAAAGAGAACTTAAAATTTAAATATAATGTTCTCAAGTTTTTTTAAATGTTCTTGAGAACACTGAGAACATCAGATATCTAACACTGAGTGCAAGGACCTTAGTAATTAGGCCCCTCGGCTGCGGTAGTAGTGTAACACCTGGTTTTTGTAGCGATTAGGCTGCAGTAGCAGTACGAGAACCTTGGCAGTTAGGTTTTGCGGCTGCGGTAGCAATGCAAAGACCTTGTTTTGGGCTTCATGGCTACCGTAGTAGTGCAAGGACCTTCGCTAAATGGATTGCAGGCTCCGTGGCTGAGATAACAGTGCAGTGTATTTAAAAAACCCAGTTTACGAGAATCTTGGCAGTTAGGCTTCGCGGCTGCGGTAGCAGTGCAAAGACCTTGTTTTAGGCTTCATTGCTACCGTAGTAGTGCATGAACCTTCACTAAATGGGTTGCAAGCTCCGTGGCTGAGATAACAGTGCAGTGTATTTAAAAAACCCAGTTTACTTCTAGTCAATCCCGTATATACCTGAATACTCACATGCATACGTATGCATAAACTTTACTGATGCCGATCGTACTGGTCTTGGCATTTACTAATTTTCGCCTCACTTTTCAGATTCTGGCCAATCAGAATGCAAGATCAGGTGTAACGTGAAGATCAAAACAACAACCGCTTTTTTTCGAAAAGTCAAATTTCGGCTAAGAAAAAGTTAATTGCAAATTTTAGTACGTATAATTTTACACACTAATGCTAACCCTAAACCCTAACTTAGGTGTCACATTTTAATTAGAAAGTGACATGTAAACTGGTGCGAATAATTCCAACCAATAGGAAAGTGAGGCGGAAATTAGTAAATGCCTGGTCTTGCGCGGCACCATGTGCTGCGCAGCACCTTATTTGGATATGTTGAAACAGAAATAATATTCAAATATTACTTTTTACGATTTATCATTTTGAGAGACATATCAAACTAAAAAAGAACTTTATTATTATTATAATTTATATATCATAAATAAAATAGACTATGGTATGTAGTTTATTTATCATTATCGTTATCAATCGTTATTATTATTACTAGAATTACAATTTATTGCAATAATATACACATACTACAAGAATTACAGTTTATAACATAATACAGGTTACCCCCGTCAATATCAACCTTGTTAATATCAACCTAAGCCACAAACAAATTTTTATTAATTTTTATATATCAACTTTAATATGATTTCTCGTCAATATCACTATCAACATAATTTAAAACCAATTCAAATAGGTTGATATTAACGAGGGTAGCCTGTATTTTAATATGGCCTACGTTAATACTACCAAAAAAATTGCAGTTTCAGCCATACCACTAATCAGAGGTCCAAAAGAATTTTTCAGGGTTTAGCATTGATTTATTAATATATAAATAATTCAAGTGTTAGCCTAAATGGTCTAATCAGCTATTATACGCATAAATATAATAATCATACTATACTACATCACATAAGTAACCAAAAAAAATTTGCACTACATAGTAAAAATGATCTAAGCACATCTTACTAAAAGACATTTAAGATAAATTTGTCATTTAACGATTTGTATAATATCTGATAAAATAATTTATTTAATTTTAATATATTTCAAAGAAAAATCATAAATTCTATTTTTATCATTGCCGAGGACCTTTTGCAGAACTTTTAGCACTAGGTCTGGGAAATGAAGTTAGGGAAACAGGACAATTTGCAACGACACCACTATAAACTTGTTCAAGATTCGAAACTTGACTAAAAGAAGTTATTGGAGCTTTATCTTCAGCGGTGATATCATATACGGTCCAAATTCCAGAATAGTTACTAAGTCCTGGAACCGTACTAAGAATAGCTGATATTAAGGTACCGTTGTCTGAATTCACATGATATATAGGAGCAGTAGCATTACCTGCTGTATTAATACCGAAATTAAAATAACGAAACTGAACACCTTTATAGTAACCAAACATTTCTTGACCGTCAGCAGGGTTCTCCAATTTTGCAGAAAAACCAACTTTAAATAAATTTGTATATTAATGTCTATATATAGAAATTCATTTGATTTTATTTGATTTTAATATTTTCACTTACCAACTGGAAGATTGTAATAAATATCAGATTGGAAAATTTGTACACTGTTACCAAGTTTTTTCAAATCATCGTATGAAGTGATATTACTAGATCTATTCGTTAATCCAGTAACTATGTTTATTCTTTTAAGATCAGAGTATCCATCATCACCAGGAATCAAATCGATAATGCTTGGTTGCATAATATTATTCATATTATCGTTAGGATTTTGAAGAAACACATAAATAGGATTGACACGTGAGATCGTCGGAACTGGTGTTTCGTTATATGCGGCAAAAAAATAAAAGTTGACTGGTATATTGTTGAAAAAACTTGGAGAAGTTGTATAAGTTTTGTTTGGAAGAGCATAAGGATCGCCAGTAATTGCATGCCCAATTAAAGTAAGCACAATAAAGGCGAGTGAGGTGTATACCTTGAAGTACATTTAGTTTGAATATTTGATAATGAGTAATTCAGATAGATACGACAACAGCTTTATATTTTCTAATTCCAAATACCTCGTGCAATTTATTGTTTTTTTTTTATCACATTTAACAAATTTAGCAAAAATAAATGTATGAATGAAAGAACAAAAAAAAGCATATCCGCCTAAAAAGCACCATTAATTAATATTAATTATTATAATAGGTGGCAAAATTATACAGCAAGAGCCATCCGACTGATAAGCTGTTATTTGATTATATTCTACTTCCTTGTACGTACTATTCCCGGTAGTATGTGTACGTACGTACTACATAATCGCATTTCTATTTTAGGTTATGAAAATTATTACTCAATTTAGTCGGCAGCCGTTAAAGTGGCTGATAAAGTTATATATTCCACTATAAGAGACCACAATTGTTCGGTTAAATTACGTAATAGCGTTCATTAAACCTGACATAGAACAAGAATATATATCAGATCATAAAAATTGATGTACGTATAAATTTTAAGTTTATTTCAAATCGACAATAATAAAGTTGATTAGCTCACTTAAGAAAAAAATTTGCAGATTAAAGTTAATAGAATATTAATGTTCTAAATAATGTATTATATATATATATATATATTATATATATAATTTATACTTCATATCATTGATATTTTATATATTTTTTCGGCTATATTAAATGCCTTTTCAAAATTCCAAGCGAATAATAAATGTAAATTGTTATTATTCATGTGGAATGAATCACAATTAATTTTAGTTCTAGTTAAGACAATAAAGAAGGCAATATTCATAGTAACTAAAGCTTGGTTAATAATGATCGACCTATTTTATTATAAGGTAAATACCTTGTGAAAGAAATATAATACGTATCATAATAATCGACAAAGTATAATAGAGTAATTACTTTGATTATTATTTAATTACAGGATAAGCTATTATAAAATTGTCTATTTTAAATTAATGTTTATTACAGCATATGTTGAGTTATTTCAATTTCTTAGTAATAAATAAAAGATTATTCATCAGTTATCCTTTTTGTAAAGTTGACTATATAATTCAATTACGATAGTTTGGACGCACATAGTAGTGCAAGGTTATGAAACTCTATAAATCTAGTTGTTGATATATAGGTTATTAAATTCGATCACAAATTCCCGGTTTCGGTTAATCGAAAACAAGGTTTTTTTTTTAAAAAAAAACAATAATAATATGTTTATTAATGATTTTTTGTGGCAAAAATCAATAGTAAAGTTGGTTGTAAAGCAATTCGACATCAATGTATGCCACAAATCATTATTAACGCTCAAAGAACTGGCTTTCGCCTGGAGTCATGGATCTGTGCCAATAGAATAAAAAATTCTTTACCAGGTTTTGTCGATCACGATCGACAAAATTAAGAAAAAAATTTTTTCATGCGTGCCAACAATCACACATAGATACCCAACCAAAATTCCGCATCTAAGGCCCTTGTGGCTTACTAATTCCTCTACCGTGGGCTTAGTACTATTATATACACTCATATGTTGTTCGACAAATTTTTTGAAGTTTTTATTAGATTAATGTTTAAATTAAGTTAAATGTTAGCAGGACTTATAATAAAATTACATAAGGAATCGTTTTGTTAAATGACTGATTATGCAGATTTTTAAAAACTATGCAATTTTTTCCTGATCGTATTACGTACACTGAATCATGACTCACTATATATCCGCAAATTTGATTTTTATAATAAATATTATAATTTTTGTAATAATAACTTTTGTCATATTGATCTATTAAATAAATTTAGAAAACTGATTAGGCCTCCGCATGGGCCGGGTAAAGCAGAGACCGTTAATGTTACACATATATTAAAACTTGTGAGGGATTATATCCATCACAATTGAACCCAATATAAATAATTTAAGTTGTGATTGATCACAGGAGAGAGGGAATTACTCTGGATCGAGCACTATCTCTGCTGTTGGGCCGGGTAGGGTTGAGTAGTAGTAATACCTTAGCCCTACCCATCTGTGTAAAGGCTCAACTTTTGGGCTTTTTACCTTACCCTAGGGCTCGAAATTAACGTCTAGCCCGGCCCATAAAGCCCACAGGTACCCGGGGTACCCACGGGCTTAGATGTATTTTCTTTATCTGAATATCATATTTCCTAAACAGGTTACTATTTTGCATAATCCTAGTTCACCTTCGGTCATTTTTATAACAAGTGTTTTTTTAAAATTAAATATAACCAAATTTGTAATATTTTTTACTATAAAGGACGAAGTATTTTATACGTAGTTTGATCAACAATGAACTATATATAATCATGGCAATCTTAGGGTTAGCATTACAGTAAACCTGATGTTTACAAATCAGCCAGACTCCATGTATAAATAATTTTTTAAAAGCTACATATAATTAGGCCTACGACAAATATATAAACTCTGGCTTTATTCTAAGATTATCATTTCTAATTTCATATTGATGATAATTCCAGACATAAACATTTTATTAGTATCCTATTTTTGGCCGATTTTTGATAAATTGAAATTTTGTATTACTATGGAAAGGAATGCAGGTTTCGTAAATCTATCATTGAGACACTAAGTTTCAGAGTTTAAAATGGATAACGTATCAAGTAATTCTTGCACCTGATAAAGTTACCAATAGTTTAAACTCACGATAGTTTTATAATGTATTATCATTTAAATGATTCGAAAATTAATTAAAAAACTGAATCATGGCGATACAGAGTACTTGAACAAGTAAAATATCGTTTCACGAAAGCTTTAAAAATTAAAAGACTACATGAAAATTTAGTCTATTAACTTTGATTAATAACAAAAAAATCCGACCAGCCAGCCGAAATTACAAATGCCATGTAATGAAAAATGAAAAATTAGCCTTGGTGGCCTAAAATAATAGATAACTTGATATTTATTTAAATAAATAAAATTAAAGACTTTGAATCGAATATTAAATTCAACTTATGTTTTATATTTAAAAATCATACTTGAATGTAAATAAACCCTTTGAATTTAAATTCAATCAGCTAAATGTTTTTTAATTTTATTGCATTATTATCAAATTGTGCATATAAATTACTAAAATTACAAATTCTTATTTCCCCAACTTATAAGTCCCATTCAAATTTGTTGCCATATCTAGCCAGTTATGTTGGCACATCAATGCAGTTACCGTTTCTGGATCTAAGGTTGTTTGTAGGGTTAGGCACGGAAAAATTTTGTGCATGCCCCCTGGACATGCCTCTAATTTTTTGGTTTTAAAGACATGCCCCAAAAAAATTTTTGTATATCAATTTTTTTTAGAATTTTAGCATTTATCGCCGGTGGCGATACTACCACCACCTATTTCTTTTATCAAATTTAGAGATAGGGAGCAATTTTAGACCAAGGTTAGGGTTAGGTATAAGGGTCCAAATCT